CAATGCAGACTAATGATTTTAGGCCAATTTCCTTATGATTATGAAGAACTTTAATTTAAGACTGTTTTAGAACAATAAAACATTTGTATTTGCTTTCACACAGCTGTCGTGAAACTACAAATCCGATCATGCATGTGCCTCTAGGATCATTTAACCTATTCATGTTAGCAGGGGAGAAATGGAAGTGTGTACTATAGATCATTTAACCTGGTACACACTTCCAGTACACTGCAGTAATAAGAGTTACAATTCTGCCCTGCTAACATGAATGGGTTAAATGATCCATAATACAACTACATGTTATGTACTATGGATCATGATTTAACCTATTCATGTTAGCAGGGGAGAATTGTAAATCTATTGCTGTGTAGTGGAGGTGTGTGCTGTATACATGTACTACATATACAGTACACACTGCAGCAATAGATTTACAATTTTCCTCGACTAACATGAATGGGTTAAATGATCCGTAGTATTACAATTACATGTTATGTACTATTGTGTAATATTGAACATTTAATCCATTCATATTAGCAGGGGATAATAGTAAATCTATTGCTGCAGTGTGTACTCTGTATGCAGTACATATAGACTACACACTGCAGACAATAATTTACTATTTTCCCCTGCTAATACAATAAATCGTTCTTATGAGGGACCCCAGGCCCTCACTCACTGTTAGTTGCCTCGCTGGTGAGGTTGCGCTGTGCGGGAGAGCAGCGGCGAGTCGGCGCTGGCCCTGTGGGAGGTGCTCCAGGTGGGGTCCTAATTTAGCTGGCCTGTGAATGCTCTCAGGTCCTCTGGACAGTCACCGGTGTTCTGTCGACGATGAGAACTCATCGACCTTGCGAACCTCTGACGTCGCATCCGGGTACTGCCAGTAGGTCAGCTACACATAAGGACTTTCTGCGCATGCGTTGCCTTACATCCCCACACTGCGCCTGCGTCCTTTCTCACGGCCGTTGACTTCTCCAACTACACACAGCTCGACGCCCTTCTCGTCGAGTTTGCGAACTATACACTGCGCTTGCGCTGTCCATCTCAACTATTAAAATAAAAATACATAAACAAACTTATATATTAAATAAATCAATCTCTTTAGAAAAAAAAAATCTATGTATATATAAAATACTATTATAAATAAATAAACTTATATATGCATTTTAGTAGTTGAAATGGACAGCGCAAGCGCAGTGTATAGTTTGCAAACTCGACGAGAAGGGCACGCAAGCGCAGTGCATGGTAGTTGAACTGGACAGGAGCTATGTATAGTTGGAGAAGTTAACGGCCGTGAGAAAGGGACGCAGGCGCAGTGTGGGAATGTAATGATCGGTGAGTGGTAACGCATGCGCAGAAGGTCCTTAAGTGAAGCTGACAGACTGGTAGTACCCGGATGCGACGTCAGAGGTTCGCGCGGTCGATGACTTCTCAGCGTCGACAGAATAGGACCCCACCTGGAGCTCCTCCCACCGGACCAGTGCCAACTCGTCGTTGCTCACAAGTAAAAAAAAAAAAATCATAGCGCAAGCTTCGGCACTATGTATCGGGGCATTTTGACAAGTACAAGTACTTGTCAAAATGCCCTGCATCGGGCCCGATACCGATGCTAGCATCGGTATCGGGACATCCCTAGTAGCCCCATATTTCTCTCAGAAAAGATTTCCTTCAAACCTTAACTATACATCGCTTTTTTTTAATGACCAATGTCTCCATGTTTACATGCAGCATTTTATATGTTTGTACAAACTTTACAATGGCTTGCTTGTATTTTTGCTATTTATTTATACTATATATTTTACTATTATTATCTAACGCATTGCCAGCAAGTTGCATGTTTGATTCAGGTCAATGACTCCGGCATCAGTGAAGCCAAGCAACTACCATTTTTCTTAGAGGGTATGGCAGCCTACACAGGTTTCCTATAAGAGGGCTATTTTCTACCTAAAAAAGGTACTGAAAGAGTTACAAAAAACTTCACAACAAGACATGCTGCTTCCTGCTCTTGGTAGGCAGTTGACTCTGCACAAATAGGGGGTTATGATCACTTGAGGTGTCCTCAAACATTTTTGTACTAATTTGGCAACTTACCAAAAAAAACATTCGTGGCTGCATAACCTTCCGGGAAAGCTTCATTAAAGTCCCCTCTTTTAGAAAGACCTGAGCAAGCAGAATGAACAATGAAACACGGTCTGGAGAGCTTGACCAGATTACATACAAAAATTGTACACCACATGCTGAACCACAACATAACAAGGGTTTTTGTTTACTACAGAGAACATCACTGTCAGTGCATCACAATTATATTATAGCAATATAGCGCAGTATGATTTGTATTATGCCAACTGTTTTTAGATCCTTTTTTAATTAATAAAAAGTTATCTGTACATACCCTTCCAGGCTGCACAATCTCATGATGGCCATTTAAACTATACTGGATCTGCATCAGCTTCTGAAAGTTGTCCTAAAAAAAGCAAAACAAAATATGTCAACTGTAGATGAACAACAGTAAAACAAGCATATGCTGTCCAGAAATAAAGAAGAATGCGGCTAGCTGTAAAATAAAGTGTTGTAAAAGTGTTGAGGCAGACTTTAATACACATTAGTCTTAGGAATACAGGATTAGTTATGTAATGTGATCTGTTCAATGCTAACATGGGAAGTACACTAACTTTAACATACAGTATAGTCACTGTATACAAGAAGGCCACTTCACTATTGTGTTGCGATATATCTTAGTGGACTTTTTCAGACACACATAGATTTGCAAGAGAGACGGAGGTTTTGTTTGTTTGTTGATAGAAGACTGGGTTCATACAATGGAAGGTGCCACCTAAACAAACCAAACTGTTTTTTTCACAATGGTGTAGCTTGTCCTGTATTGATTCGCATACAATGGGATGGTGATCGTAAACAGTCACAACTAGCCTGGTCAAGATTCAAATCAAAATCTGGACTACTGATGGCAATTTATGGTACAACGCTGCCACCTAGAGGTGGGAAAGTGAAATGTATTGCATTTTCCTAAAGGTGAAAGGGGCGGCGCTTCGAAAGTTTTAGGCCAGTTTTCTCTCAATAAAAAGCCAGTAGCTGAAAGGTTGAGAGGACAGCACTTCACCAGACGAGGGCTTCACAAGAGGGGGACAGTACGAGGGGGCTTCACAAAGAAGAGAGGACTTGCTTCAAGACCAGGACATACGGTCAGAGACTGCAACGAGAAGCCATTTTTCCTAGGCTGAGAAGTCCTGCTCATCGCGGAATTTGTGGAGCCTGCAGCCTGAGCTAAGTACATTTTCAGTGTTTCCCCTCCTAGAAATCATACATGTACTAGAAGATAGTGTAGTGGGTGCATGTGAATGTTTGTAGCAGCCTGTATGTCTTGTTTATGTATTTGTTTGCTTTTCCTGTAACCAAGTGTGTATACGCAGCATTTTCGCCAAGTAAAGTACTTTTAATGCTACTGGGTCAGTTTCCTTGAAGTTTACTGCAAGAACAGACAACAAATAGAAATTAAAGTTTTGCCAAGCTTTACAGCTGGGTTCATCCTTGAGATAAGCTTTACGTCTCTGGGATTTGTAGTCCAGAGCATTACAACTATTAATCCAGAAAATGTTTCCAGTATGCCTTCACAGAGCTCCCAGTGTGGAAATATAATATCAAATTTGAACTAAGGACATAATGACTTCAGTAAACATAGCTTTGCATTACACTCCTAAACATTTATATTAGTTATTAATTGGGGATGCACCGATATATCGGCCTCCCAAACATATCGGCCGAAAATGGTACTTTGGCTAAAAGTCGAAAAGTGCAATTTTCTGGCCGATACAGCGGTGCATCTGTGCTTTCTCTCCTCCCCGCTGGGCACTGCTCTGTGTCCCATCCGGGAGGAGACAAACGGTCACAGTGGCCGAGCGCTGCTGGAGGAGAGCGCTGTGAGCAGCTGGCATCTCTCCTCCCACACCGCTCAGCCGGCAAAGACGGTGTGTGGGCGGAGACAGCCAGTGCTGTCACAGGAGGCTGAGCTCTTCTCCAGCAACGCTCGCTCAGCGTCCTGTGACAGCGAGTCAGGAAGGAGACGAGTGCAAACACTCAGCGATCGATAAGTGTTTGTACATAATTGAGGACATGGTATGGTCACTATATCCTCAATTATGAATGAATGGGAAGTGATCTACTTCACCGCCTGTTCATTCAGGATTGTGGTTATAGTAAACATACTCTGTCCTCATGTTATCAATGAACAGGAACACTCAGTATAGGGGATTCCTGTTCATTGATAACTGGAGCTGCAGAAAAAGAGATTGAGGACTCACTGTGCTCAATCTCTATTTCTATTTTAAAAAGGAAATATCAGGGGTCTGTTTAGACCCCTAATATTTCCCCGAAGCCCCTAAAGTAAAAAAAAAATAAAATTTAATAAAAATAAATAAGATCTAAAAACAATTTTTTTTTAAAAGAAGTTTATAAAAAACATAAAATATATTTTTAAAAATTTGAAAAAAAGTTAGAAAAGAAAAACATTTTCGTTTTCGGTCTAACATTTCTTTTCCTTTTGGTTTCATTTTTAAAATTTTCATTTCAGTGCACCTCTATTATTAATCTCAAACATGGTTTTCTGTGTGAGAAATCAATTTATCATAGCCACACCATATCTCTTGACCATCAGATGTTCACAATTCAAATAAAAACCTGGACATTTTATAAAATCGCATCAAATTGAAGCTATTATTCTATTCACAGAATACTGGAAAAACAGTAAACTTATTCAGTAAAATAGAATCAAATGCAATGATGAAAAGAACAGCAACTGATAGCCATCAGAAATTGTAATTTCCAGTCTCAGAGTAAGAATAGTAATTTTGTACAATAATTTTTTTTTCTATCTGAACTTGGTCAGAATTGCAGTTAGACCAAATAGGACATCTAGTCAAACTGAAATGTGTTGTTGTACAAGAGTTTTTTAATTGCAGTCATAATATACTGTACATGTGTAAAATGTTTGTTAATGTAAGGTAATGAATCAGTTTTATCCAACATTATAATCATATACATTTTTAGCACCACCTACCCCTTGCTTCAATATGTCGTTGGCATGATTAGCAACCTCAGTCACCACACTCAGGGCAGCTGAACAGGAAAAAAAAAAGTTAAAAGGTTACCTTACCAGAAACCAAAAGGCATTAACAATATCTATATATTCAGGTCAAAAATGGCATGTGGGTTATTTTTTTTTTATACTCAAGCAGATAAACAGGAATCTTACAAAGTGTCATGGTTGTCTTTTCCGTGTGCCTGGATTAAAAACGGAATTCATTCTGCTACATTGTATTAAACTGTGAATCCATTTTTTTGCACATCTCTGACGAATTTGTAAAAATAAGATCACTGGAAGCTGTTTCTTGGCCCCTAACTATATTCAAACAGAAAGTCTGTTGTATAATACAATAAAGCTTCAAAATAACACCTTTTGTTCAACCTCATGTTGTTATCACAGCCCATAAATGAACTGATGTCCCAGTGCGGCCAGAGAACATGAGCAGTCTTCTAACTAACCCAGTTATAATGCTGATGAGATTTCACTGAGATAGGTGTACTCAATAAGGTAATTTTACCTTGTGTGTCACTGTAGTCTGATGATTCTTCTGAAAGATTCTTCAGGTAATCTGTAGTTGAAAAATAGGGGGTAAAAAATCAGTGACTGGGTCCTAAAATGAACAATGGCAGTCTAAAAACACTATATTGAATAAAGGGGAGAGCTATACAGGGAGCATGGGGTAACTCCAGGTACCTACATACCTATATACAAATTAACTCTACATCCCTAATTACTCCTAATTTGGACTTTATCAGTACCCATTCATTTTATCTCACAGTAGGTTTAAAATATTTTCACAATCCTTTTATTGTAAAACCAATAAATTAAGGATCCAGGTATGAAATAAACAATTGCTAAAAAAAACATCCAATAGGTGCTGGTAGATGTGATCTATCAGGCATACTTTGTTTCTTTGGCATAATCTTTGCCCCTGTCCAGATGAAGTATACACGATGGACCTTGAGATAAAATAAACATTTCATGAATGAAAATGTTACAATTTTGTAGATAGTTCTGGGTAGAAAGCAGATTTATTTATATGTGAGAACATTATGTAAATCACAATATACCAGCACTTATTGAAAGTTCTTTTAGCAACTGTATATTTTTTATATGGATATTACTTGTTCGCTATTTACATTAACAGGGATGTAAAAGATTTAAAACCTAGTGTTTGGTGTGATTAAACAAATGGGTACCAATTTAGGATAGTAAGGGATTTAGAGGTGGTTTAAAAACACTATGGGGGGAAAATCATCAATACTGCAGCAGACAGAATCTGGAGCAGTTACCCATAGTAACCATTCAGCTTCTCTCTTCAAATTTGATACATTCCCCTCTAAGAATTTTTAACAAACTAAGAGTTAACCAACATTTTTCACATACAATACTTAACAAATCCCAAAATATTAGATTATTGCCTATACTAGTATTACACATTGTTTCAACACAGTAAAGTATTGTACATGATCCTTTTATTTGCACCGACTGTTCATTTCTCAGGGTAAGGGTTTCAATAATCTATTTCATTTATTGTTAAATTCATGATTTCATTTCAATTAGTTTTGTTTGTGTTGACAGTACACCTACATGCCCTCAATCACCATGCAAATCAATGTTCCAAAAACAGCACCAATTTACTTTGTGACCACTAGAGGGCAATGCTAGCAAGGCACAGTTTGCTGGCTCAACACTACAAGGTCCCCAGATCTCATTCAGCATTTCCTTGCACAGCAGAAAGATAGCCGACTTGGCATTAAATTAATGACTGTGGTCTGCCACGGAGTAAAAGTCCTTCCCTCTCAATTTATAAACTGAATGAAAAATAACACTATGTTATTTATATAAACAGACCTAAATCAAACAAACAGAAGATCAAAGCAGAACCAAACTGGAGTAGAGTCACGGCCTTGACTATAAATAACTCTCTGCTGACATATTCAGTACTTTTTTTAAAAAGTAATTATTAAGAATACTTAAAAGCATTGGCATGATTCCACTTTTCAAAAATTTAAAGATACACAAACTGACCTTAAAATTAAACTGCCCAGCTAAAATGTTTTTCTTGGTTTTGGTTAGAGTTGTGAAGGGTTAGAACCCGTCAGGTGTTTACTTATATCCAAGACTCTGTTAGAGAGATTTACCCTGGCTTCCTCTCCTCCTGACAATGTTTCATTAGCGAGAAGGGGGGTGCTCACCAACAGTTAAAATGGTTTTCTTTAATAAAATAGGGGGAGGTTAGAGTCTCTGTAAGAGTTTTATTGCCGTCTGTGTCCCTGTTGTAGATTTTTCCCTCACTTCCTGTCTATTGAAACCATTGTCGGCAGGACAAGCGAGGGTAAACCTCTCTAATGGAGCATTAAATAGCAGTAAAAACCTGACATGAGTTCTAATTCTTCCGCATTCTTTCCAAAAACTAGAAAATATTTTTGGAAATGCACTTAAAACCTAAACTTTCTCTTTTGCCTATATCCTGCAATCATCATCTCCCATTTAAAGTATTTTAAAATCTGATTTAGGGCTTGTTTAACCACGCGGCCCTGTGCGGCCAATCGCACTGCGAGCAGGGGGTGTATCTGCAGTGCCATTGACATGAATGGCACTGCCATGCCCCCGCCTGCTCCAGAACGCAAGGAGACTTTGTGTATGCGATCCCTTGCGTTCTGGGCCTGGGACAGTGCGATGAGCACACGGGCTGGTGGAAACAAGCCCATAGCACTATACAATTAGGAAGTGGATAGGTTGCTTCAAGTAGTTATTTTCTAATATCAGGCTTTGTGTGTCTGTAAAATTTTATTTTACAGATTATTAGGATTTGTACTTCAATACACCTACCATCGTGGGTGTTAGTTAGTACAAGGATCTAAATGCCCAATTGAAGCATATGGCAACAATCTTGTTTGCCAAGATATTTGTAATCCTGGTCATCCCATCTTGTATACTGAACACCCCAAACTGACAAAGTAGCTTTAAATCTCAACTGGACAACATTTATTTCTGTAAAGTGCTCTGTATCGCAAACAACTGCTCTTTTCACTTTTTTCAGCCTTCCCATAACCAGCTATATCCCATGCACTCGCTACAGTGGTGGTTGCATGTTATTGCTCACAGCGGGCTTCCTGCTGGTGACAATGGCAGAACATGCCATGCAAGGAGCAAGAGCACGGAAACTGGCAACAATGCGGGAGAGCAACTGAGACACTGGAACAGAGCGTTGCCATCCTATAACAGGAAGTAACACATTATTGGCCTTCATGGTTTGATCACCAAATATTACCTTAAATAAAGCTCCATATTTAAAAAGAATGAACATTACTTTTTTTTTTTTTTATTACTTTAACATGTTAAAGACTACATGAGGTTTTAGTGACTGGGTTCAGACCTAGGTTAAGTCTGTGACCTTCCTTTGTTCCACTGTGGTTAAGCAACACAGTTTGAATAACAGCCCAGCCTGTTGATTGGGCAATGAGGGATCAGCTGAACAATTGATGAAATCATCCCTTCACATCCCCCTTTTATAAGTATGAGTTTTAAAGTGACATTAAACCCTCAGATTTGTTAACATAAAACAATACTGTAATGTGTGCCTTACTGTAATCCATGGTTGTTTCCCTTCTCTTTGCTGCTATTCCTTTTAAATCTGTGTCTCTTCTCAAGCTGGGCAGAACTTCTGTTTTGCAGCAGACTGCTTTGTCTCAGGAATGGATGTATGGTGTCTGTGTATAGGTTTGTAACCTGAGCCAGCACTACAGGAAGAGGCACTGAGCTGCAAAGGGAAGTTCTCCCCAAGCATGAGAAGACATGAGGATTTAAAAGGAAGTGCAGCAAAGAGAAGGGAAACTACCATGGATTACAGTAAGGCACACATTACAGTATTGTTTTATGTTAAAAAATCTGAGGGTTTAATGTCACTTTAAGCTGGCCATACACTAAATTGTGACCAATTTATGACTAGCTGAAATTCGAGCTGTGGATGGCCGCATTGGCACCCATTCCCTTGAAAAAAAGTAAATGTTTCAATTGACTATTGTTGAAGGGTCTGGTCTGAAAATGTTCAGGGTACAACCAGTCAGATGCAGTCACTGTCCAGGCATTCAGTAGCCACTGAAGCAAGGGCTGCTGAATACAATAGCCGCAGGGGGGGATTTGTCCACCCACGCTGATTAGTGCAGGCTAACTGAAAAAAGTAAATTCGTCTATGGTCAGCGTAAGTGTGCAGGATGAGAGAAGCCTCATATCATTAAGAAATTAGTATCAATTCACAAGGCACAAAAGGACAAGGAGATTAGAAAAGGCCAAAAATAAAGATCTTTCATCTTATCCTTTAACTCATGTAAAGCTTTGTAAATTGAGGCTAAATTCTAAATGCTTATTTTAGTTGCATGTAAAAATACACTTAACGTTTTCTGTTTAATGAATACATAATTGAATAAAATCGTTTGATTTTTTTCAGCGTGAATTTACAATTCAACATGTAAAACAAAACAAAAAAAATTGTAAAGATGTTTTTGCAAGTACTACAAGTGTCTGAAGCTTTTTGAGTGTTAGACCCTCGACTGCCACTTATTATAGAGGAAATGCCAGGATATAAAGAGCAAGAGAAGAATAAATAAATCTATCATCACATCAAAATGCAAAGCTCTCATATTAATGCAAAGCTCATGCCTTTCCTGAACATGCCTGCTTTGATGTGGCACAAAGGTTAACACATAAAGTGGATACTCATTGAGCAAACACCCTACATGCTTAAGAGCCAGCTGGGAGGCCTCTGCCACTGAGAGCCAATGAACTGTTCTGCTTTGATGTCGAGTTTTGGCTAGAATAATTCAAAGGGAGGCCAAATAAACTAATCTCCAATTTCACAGACACTAATAAACATACACCAGTGGTGTCACTAAAGGGACAGAAGGGGGGAAAAAAAGTCTTGTTCATATCCTATGTTAATTACACACAACTCCTAAACTGGACAATGCTTAAGCAGCAATCACTATCCAAGTGCTTTTTCAGTGCATCACATGCACTTTTTCCGACCTCCGCTGCAAAAGCTACAAGGTTATCCATGTAAGGCCCCCTTCGCACTTGCTTCGCATTTGAATACGTGCCAGAGCATGTGTAAACACAACACAGGAAAAATGCGTGATGCAATTGTGGCACCATTACTTTTTAATAGCACCTCAAATGCAGCAAGCAAAACACGCATCAATGCACAAAAACATAGGGTCAAAGAAATGTGTGAAGCTCGCAGCTTAAAATGCTGCATGAGCTGCTTTGTCGTGCCTTCAAGCACGGGACCTTAAGAACACTAGGTTACGATCTGCAAGGAGTTTGCATGTTCCCCCTGTGCTGGCTTGGGTTTCTTCCGGGTTCTTCAGTTTCCTCCCACACTCGACAAAAGACATGCTGGTAGGTTAATTGGATTCTGTCTAAATTGGCCCTAGTATATGTGTGTGGTATAGGGACCTTAATGTAAATGTGCAGTATGTGAAGCGCTGCGTAAATTGTCAGTGCTTAATACCTATAATAATAGATTAATATGCTAATCTAAACTTTGCAATGTTCTATTTCAGCGTGCAGAAAGGCAGAGGTCCTAGCCTGTACTAGGTGCACAGCCCATAAAGAACCTGAAAAATAATCATAAAAATATTATACGTAATTCTGGACAAAATGGGTTCCTTCTTTATATGGTGGTGTCACTTCTCCAACCAGATTTCTCCTATTTTTTCCTATATTCTCACCAACTTCAACTAAAGCTGGACATACACTGGTAGCTTCTCGGACGAAGGTTCATACGAAAAATCTAATAAAATCTGAAAAATCTGACGTTTGATAATGGCATCAGGGACTTGATAAATATTGTTCGAGATTACGTTTTGATTTTAACATTCGATTTTGGAAAGAATGGGGTTTGCCAAACGAAAGCCACATTAACTGTTACAATTTTATTCACGCAAAAGAAATATTTTCTATCCTGCTGCTTCAATTTTTTTCCTCACTACAGTCAGAAAGATTGTCGATTTGACCCTATTAACTAATAGTAACTCAAACAGACATTCCAAAATCAATTTTTTTCAAACCAAGCTTAACTGCTATATGGCCAGCTTTAGATGTTTGAAATGTATTGCTACTTCCGGTTTCAAAAAAGGAAGACTGATAAGCCCTTGATTTTGAAATGGATTTGTTATGGATTTCTTTTATCTACATATATATCAAAACAGCACAATCAGTAGATGTCACCAGCTATCCTAAAGAAGGTCTGCTTCCTAAAGAAAGTGCATTAAAATATTTAATACCTATTATTTTCATCTTATAGGGTCCAATGGATTGAATGTGATGCTGAACGTATTACAGGACTAGCAATACACTATTGTACAATAAACTTTATTCAAGATTTGACAATTACCAAACCAAAGAAGTAAATGATACAGGATACTGTAAATGCCATAGAGCACCACATACAAAAAAAAAAAGATTCTGCACGCTAACAAACTGCTTTATGTACCTGTTAAAAGTAGTCTGTACTGAGGAATTCTTTGCACTGGTTTCAGTAAATAGTGCCTCAGAGCTAAGTTAGCACAACGAGGGTTCATCTGTAAAGGGAGAAAAAAGGTCAGTGTTTAAACAGCTTTGTATTCCATTACTGTTCGAGTGTGCACTGATGGGTTATCACTCCTTCTGTATTGATATACCGCTTTTGTATTTGTATTTCACAGCAAAACGTTATAGGTACTTTGTACATCTAGTATTCAGCAAAGCAAAAGTAGAAAGGAGTTACAAACACTGTAGAAATGATCAGGCAGAAAATCACTTCTGCTAAAAAAGCCAGCAGTAAAAATTTAAACATGCCAGCGCTGCAGCTCACATAATAGTTACATCAGTGACTGCAAAAGGGTTAAAGTTTATGTAAGCGCTAACAATGCATTTCTCTTGTTCGCTACCTTTTGGTCTGCAATATATGCATTTGAAAGGTTTTTGTTTTATCTGTTCAAAAATTGCAATAAATACCTGTTGGTCTTCCAGAAATCTTGTGAGCTGATAACTTCCTGCGCTGATCAGGAGGGGGTAGGATAAGGAGAGGTCTGTGTTCTTTGTAATGCACCAGAATTAAAATAGGCAGTGCTGACAACACATGCTTTGGAATTCCAAGCTGAAAATACACTTTGGAGTTCATTTATAAAAGTTATAAATGCTGGGTGGATGTCGTTTGCACAACACTAGCACTCCTTGATGGCACTGATGAATATAGATAACGATTATACTCCTCAGCACCATCTAGGGGCGCTAGCGTTGTGTGAACATCCTGGCTATATGCAGAACAGAACTTTTATAAATGAATCCCTAAGTTGTCATGACAAAGTTAGGAGTAGGCTATATTTCTGGCACTTAAACAGTTATTCTTCTATACTTGCAGCTTGTTTAAAGGAGAATTATGGGGAGAGTGAAATACACCTATCCCCATAATTAGAGCCGACGTGCGATAAAGAAGCTGTCACACATCAGCTCTATAGATCGAGAATTGAGTGATCACAAACTGCTGATGGCTCAGTTCCGTATCCTCTACCTGCAGAGAAGGGTGACCGTCAGTCACCGCTTCCCCAGGGATTCCCCCCTCCCCTCTCCGTTCCTCCAGCTCTGACTGTGTGCCTCTAGAGAGGCAGAGCCAGCTGTCAATCAGATGGCGCGGTGGATCCTGACAATATTGTCGGGATCTTTCCCAGCCGCACCGCGACTCTGTGCGGTCAGCATATAGCAGGCAATAGACCACTACATGCTGAGTTTTGGGTCACAGAAGGACATAGTAAATGTGACCCTAAAGAGAACTATGGCCAAAAAAGGGTTGGGATAAAACAGGGGGAAACATACATGAATTCCAGGGAACTATCAAACTTTTTTATTTTTATTTTGCCTTGACATACACCTGTACTGTGAATCTTGTACTGAGAGATTTATGGAGGCTGCCATTTCTTACTTCCTATGAATTTTACTTGCCTAGGTACCCCGGAGCCTAGGTACCCTTGACCCGAAGAAGCAATTAGATTAGAAAGAACTCCTAATCTGCATGCCTGTTCTGGGTACTGACTCAAATTCCTAAAGCCACGAGCATTTTCAGAAAATGAGGTGTCTCTCACTATAGGGTTACTGTAATAAAAACCAACCAGGACTGTTGCAATTGGAGAAAAACAATAAAAGGTGCTTATAGGTGCCCATATCTAAAATTCAACAGTGTAGTTAATAGAAGACAGTAGGACAAACAGATCCAAAGCTCACCATCCACTACAATCTTTGTACAATCTCTTTTACATTTACCAAAACTATGCAAAATGACAGTCTGCCTAAACCATGCATTCAATTTGCATCTAATCAGATAGGTCCTTGTACTACATAGATGTTGGTAGGTCTAAAAGGAGATTGGTCAAAAGGAGATTGGTCAATTAGATCCTAACATCTGTGGTGAGCTTAAAAGAGTAGGTCCAGCCAAAACCTGAAAATCTGCAACATGGAAACAGACAGAAATAAGATGCCAATGATAGTTCTAGCCTCCCCCACTCTACTAAAAAAAAAAT